TGTCCCAGGTAACAGGGAGAGGAAACTGAACCTCTGTCGTATTCGTGCAGCAGCTTGCCCTGAGCTGTGAGCTGACACTGTGAACAGCTACACACCCCGGGAGTGCAGGAAGCAGGGCCACGGCCAGATTCCAGAGGCCAAACCGCTGCCCTGGGTACTTAGGCAGTATAAAGCAGGGCCATTTTGCAGAAGTACTTAACCACTTTATACACTGGAATTCTCTTAGACCTGTTAATGAACTGTGCAAGCAAACAGTGAGGCTGAACAGAATAAAGCCAAGCTCCACCATGCAGTTACCAGAGCTCCCTGCTGTGGTGAGGATGTGACTTGAGCTCAACTCTAACAAAGACAACTTTGGTTGTCCATGCAATACTGCACTTCTTGACAGATCTAGCCTCTGAAACTATGTGAAACAGCACCTGAAAACATTCCCCAGCTAGCTCAGAACACTTCATATATTTGTAGTTCTCCTCAAACCAGATACTTCCAAACATCCCTACTCACACACCAGCCCTGCAGCACTCCCTCCCTGAAATCCCATCACCTTGCTCAGCTGGCAGGTTTAAGGAGTAGACTCTAATGTAAAGGCCTACCTACTCTATGGAATAGCTGATGTTTAATATTTTTTCAAGTAAATTATTCTTCTTCAAATAAATAATTTTTGTTTCAAATAAAACAAACTGTGTATCAGTAGCTAACATATTTTGCAACATTCATGAGAGTATGAAAAAATCACAGTATATTTCTTACAGTCTGTACTACAGCTTTGGTTTTATTTTGAAGTGTCAGACTGTGTCACTGGAAGCAGACATTCCCTCTGTGGTATTTGTACGCTGCGATGCAACAGACACTCAACTTGCCAGGCTCTCTCAACTTGCCAGGGTCTCTCAGCAGAACCCTGTTAAGACAAGAAGTAAGTTTATATTTTTTAAGAAAGCTACAGCAAAACTTGATACAGGATGCCTTTAATTAATCAACTACATAACTGCTCAAAAGGAGTTTTACTCCAAACTGGTAATTAGTTGGATTTCTTTTTTTGTTTTGGTTGCATACAGTGACCCACTCTGCTCCTGCCAGACCATGACATGGCTTGTCAGCATGACCTGTCACCTCTGGGCTTTCCAGGGCCCTCGGTGGTTAATGCCCAGGGCCAAAGCCCTACATCACCCCTCTGCTGGGTGCTCAGTGTCCTCTGACTGACCATGTAACACCCTGCTCCGCTACCCATCAACATGGCCCATCTTCCAGTGTGAAACCTTGACTGACTTGACTGATCTTTATTCATTTGAGGAAGATTATGATGACAAGTCAAATGCCACTATTTGAGGTAGGCAGGAAACACTGCTTGTACTGAAAGATTTCCATGGGGGTCTCCATCTCATTCGTGAAGTGACAGAGGTCTTCTGAATTGTGACCTGCTCTGAAAAGCTGATCTCCAGACAGCTGCCCTCTCCTCCAGCTTTCGGTCCTGCCTCTTATTTACACATGATATATGCATTGCACACAGGTTTTTAAACGTGTGTGTTTCTTAAATCTCTGCAAAATCTCACAAACTTTCTTATACATAAATTTGCCTTGTTGTCTATCAAATCACTATCACAACCCTCATAAAGTTTTTCTTTGCAGATAATGTGATATGGCTGTTCTTTTTCTTTTACAGGTGAGCTTGTTGAGAGACAGGCAGGCATACCATGCAACTTCTCCTAAATTCAGCAGTAGATGTAGGAGCAAGTGAATCCAGAAATCCTTCTAGGTCCCTCTTCCATCGTCTGAACTGTGAAAAACACAGCATTTGGCAACACAGTCCTTAGAGTTTAGAATACACAATTTTGTAGGAAAGTATCCCAACACAGTATTGACTTATAAGTGCAAACCAATATTGGGTGTATACTGAAGAAGAATCAGGCGTAAGTGAGAAAACTGGGAAACACAAATGAGCTAAAAAAGATTTCAGACTTATTCCTGCAAGTAGGACCACATATAAAAATCAGATCAGAGTCTCACTGACTTTGACAGTTCCCATACTGGACCAACAGGCATTTACAACCAAAGCAGCAACACATTTATCTCCTGTTGTTACTTCTCTTCTGTGACTGATATATTCTTGCATTTAACCAAGATATTTCCATGAAGTTTTTCAGTGTTTCAGAATAATCTCCTAAGTCTCTATCTTCCAAAGAAATCTGTGAGAATTTCTTAAGCTTCAAGAAACTTGTTACTGCACATTTTAGGAAAAACCAGCTCAGAAGTTGCCCTTGGACAAGGACTTAAAATACTGGCATACAAAACCTGATTTGCTTAACTACTGTGTAATATAAATGATCAATTTTGAGAAATATGCATTTTAAAAATAATGCAGTGCACATAGAGGCAAACATTAGCTCAAGTCTTGCATAACTGATACTGCAATACCCTCTTGTGGTCAAATAAAAATGTTTTGTCCAAACATCTGAACTTTTTCCTCCATAAAATGCCTCTCTAGACATCTTTTCCTTTGACTCAAAGGAAATTACTCACATATTTTTCACAGATTAATTTGTACTGCATATCATCACTTGTCTGGAAAAACCAAAAGACTAACCTCAGTCAGGTTCTTCCTCAGAATAATGGGCACTGACACTGCTTGTTAAATTAATTAATACAAAACAAACTTCTAAGCAAAGGCACCATCTTCAACAGTGACACTCATGACTTTTTTCAAGTCTCATGTCCCCAACCAGAAAGAAATCAAGATGCCATAATCAATTTGCATAGATACATATGGCATGAAGCCACAATAAGTATCAACCTATTGTACTATGGGATGAAAAGAAGTTCCCAGTAAATCAGTTGTACCAATTCAAATGAACAAATAAAATGCTAAACTGGCAGATGGTAAAAAGAGGGGAAACAGTTCAGTATCTGCAGCATGTCTGCTGAACTATTAATCTAGTAAATGGCCTAAATGGGATACTAGTATGTACAGTAGGGAATCTAGAGTAACACCCAGAAATGCCATCCTTGCACTCACCTTGATGTACATTGGTGGTGCACAACTACTCCCTTAACGACTTTCAGTAAGATGTTCTGAGAAGAACTTTGCAGCCCCACATCTGCATCAAACCCAGGATAGTTACAACTCCTGCAGCTTTGCAACCACCACCCAATGGCACAGACCTTTAACACCTACTTGCAATCTTTCCCTCCAGTGGCTGCATTTGGAGGCTGTACTCAGCTCAACAACCATTTTCAGCTTATTGCTGATTAATTTGCAGAAATTGACTTGAAGGAAGGATCAGAAGTAAAATAACACAGGAACTTTGTACAGAAGAATTAAAGAGCATTCCATGCACAGGAACAGACTTTCCATCGGGATCTTTTCCTGATCTGATCAGGAGATAAAACCTCAAGCATACTGATTAACACATCAGGTCTTCCAAACGTACCTCAGTTTCCTTTTAAAGCAATAACATGCTGCTAAAACACTATTCTCCAACCAGCTGCACACACTCCAACTTGGAGAGGACCCTGGAACAAATGCAGCAGGATAAGCAGATTCCACAAGAGGAACAGAGACAACTATTAGGCCAGGCTAGCAAACACTTAATTTCTTCAGTTCATGATAACGATATGTGGGTACATGACTTTTTGCTTTTTGGCAGAAAGAGATGAAAAACACTACTGAGGTTTCAATTATCTCAGAAAAAACAGCAAACAAACAAAAAGTCCACTAAAATTTAATTCAAACCCAAAGTAAATATTGGGGTTTGTGGTGGAGTTTACCTCTTCTTATGTTATATTATCGTAATCTTCAAATTGTGAAAAATTTTTCCAAATATAGAAGTATTTCTTGCTCAAACATGACTCATGAAGTGTTTGGATTGTTGTATAGTTGTAACTATTTTTAAAGAAATTATTTGCCAAATTCAGTATATGTTTCCCAATACTGCAAGCAAATAAGTTTGTCCAAAAAACCCTAAAGAAGCAGATTCAAAGTTCATTAGCATTTACCAGGAAGATGAAGCAAGAGACTAGAATTCATCTGGAGCTAAGCCACACTACTCAGAAACAAGTCAGCCAAGAATTTCAGAGGAAATTTATACTTAAAACGCTCTATTTTCCCGCAAGGTCACAAATACTTGAGGAAGTGAGTTCATGCCACAAAAGCCCAACAGGCTGACTGTAAAGACAAACACTGACATTTTGTATACTGTTTTGAAAATTCTCACTTTGTATACTAATGACCCTTTAAAGTTACTTAAAAATTGCTTCTCATAGTTGCTTAATACTTTCAGCAGAAATATATAAGTGCTTAAAAAGGGCTTTTGATGATCTCTGTTCTTTTTTTTAATTTGAAAATAAGGGGCTTTCAGCACAGATTCGTTGAAACACTTTATTTTAAACAAATAGCTCTGCCCCAAATAGAGTTCAAGGCCCTAGCAGCTGTTCCACTGGGTCTCTGCTCCTTTTCTGATGCATATTCACAAGTTAGACTTGTTTCCAATAGAGACAGTAAACACGCCAGGGAAACCAGCAACTTTCAGAAGCTTTTGCCTCTGCTACATAACCACAACAAAAGTCTTCCTGACATACTCAGCAGCAATCTCCTCTGCACCCTTTGCTACTACACCAGACTTTATTGTTCTAAGGATTTTGAATAGAGGCTGATCTCAGCTACAGTAGCAGTAATCACCTTGTAAGCTGAGAGTTTGCTGGTTACAGCTGGAGATCCCACAGCTTCCAATAACAGTAGTTTCTTACAAAACTGCTGTTACCATGAAAACCCCCTAAGTGTTCAAGCAATGATGCAACATAAAGCAGTAGGAAAGAAACATTAAATAAGAGGGAAGTAAACCAGTTCTGAGCACTGCCTGTCAGTGCTGCTGTGCACATTTGTTTTCTGAAAGCACTCCAAAGCAGCAGCTGAAAGAAAACGTTAGGAGAGAAGAGGCTTTGAAAGCACAAACAAGAGCAGGTTTAACTTTCTGAACAGTCACAATATACCAAACAGTGCTGGGCATATGGTAAGTCTCAAAAGGGACAAGTTGGGAAAGGGTTCTGGATTCAGGAGAAATACCTTGGTTAAGGCATTGGCAACCAGCAACCACACCCCTGGGGCAACCAGTCCCATCTCCATCTGTGTCTCAGCAGCACCCAACCAAACAGACCTGCCACCGCACAACCGGCTACTCAGGCCTGGGCAGATGAGCAGGCAGCACTGCAGCCAGACCAGGTCCAACAGGATAAGATCCGAAGAGAGTCTGTTGAGGCCAAACAGAGAGGAAGGCAAATCTGGTAAATCAGTTGTTCCAGTTCATGCCTCTTCTACTCATCTTGACAATGGTACAGATGCTCCCTGACAGCATTAGGGCTTGATCCAAAGCCAACACTATCAAATGAAATTTTCTTCTGCAGGGACTTTGGATCAGATCCTAATACCTTCCTTTCGAGGGCTACATTATCTCTGTTTTCTTTCACTGGACAAAATCTGTGCTAATATCTCCTGGCATGCTGAGCTTAAGTTGAAAAGAGATGCAAAGAACTGCATGCTAAGTATCTTTTAGCTTTTTAATGATTCCCACAAAGAAGATATAAAAGTGCCAAGCTTTATAATTTATTGCAGACATACTGGTATTATCACCTCTTCTCATACTCTTGGAAATGGCTGAAATGGAAGCTGAACAGAGTGTTCTGCCCAAATATGATTTGTATCCCCAATCTGTAAATCTACTGAATTCGCCCCATTGTTGTAGTCTTTCAGCAGACTGAGCTGCACACAAACAACCTAAGCTTTGACTGTACATAGACCAGTGACACAAAGGAACCCGAAATTAAGATCCTCTCTGTCTCTGCCACGTATCTTGAGTAAGTGTTTAAGTTCATATTTCATTGCACAGCATGAGTATGCCTATTAGAAGAATATCCTTGGTAAAATTAAAATCAGCTCCATTTCCAACTGTGTCCTATCCAAGCTAAAGGGATGAAAAAGAACATCACTCTCAGTATTTTTTAAAATGGGAAAAGAAACCATCTGAAAACTTTTGCACTCCTCAGCCTTCTGGAGGAGATACAGATCACAGCTCTGATTTCCCCAGACACATTTGCACTCTCGTCTGGCTCCATTTACCTGAGGGACAGGCTGATGCCAGGACTCTGACTCATGCAAAGCCAGGGCCATGGTGCCAATGTTATTCTCTCCCAGCTGTGCTGGTAAACTCAGACTCCTGCTCAACAAGCCCAGCTTGTTCCATACCCATTCCTTAGCTAAGGCAGCAGGAGGGACTCTGTGCCTGTCCCTGGGGTTCATGGTCATGGGTATTGGTACAAACTCACTTTCCTGAATAAGTAAGGTAACACATCATACAGCTGATGCAATTTTCCAATTTTAGCTATGAAGACAAACTCTTGCAAAAGAGTAGGACAGACTTGTGAAGAACAAGGTGCCTAAAGCTGAATTCATCAAACTACAGACCCTACAGCCTGCAGACAGCTGTCCTTCAGTTCCACATTCCCATCCCAAAACCAATGATGGTGGAAGGCTGCAACATGTTAAGTGGTCTGACTTGAAGTAGATATAGGTAAATGTCTAAGACTATGGCATTTCTCACTAATTAGCACCATTCAGTAACACCCAAATCTGATACATTCAAATCATGGCTGCATAGCATGATAAAAAATTCTAGGACCTCAATGCTGTGGTGGTATACCAAGACATATAGTGATAAAGAGAACAAGCATAAATTCGTTCTTACTTGCACTTGGGGCATATCTGCACTGGATGAGGGAGTGCAGCACAGAAATCCAATGCTCCACGTGGCTGTGCTGTACAGATGAGTTCAACTAGGAAGGATGTACACCTTCAGCACTAGCTCATTGAGCTTAGATGCAGCACAGGTAACTAGCTCAGAGACAACACAGGTGTCCCTTGAGCCCTGCTGCAAATAGCTGTACAGAACTGTTTCCACTCTTCACCTCAAAGTACTCTTACAATAGCAGGTGAACGGCCGCTTTCTCCATTTCAGGCTGGAGAAAAAAAAGACAGAAAATCAAAGGACTTACCCTGTAGTTCCACACCAGGTACAGAACTGAAGAGCAAAACTCAGGACTTCTGACTCCATTTGCTCCTAGCACAGCTGCCTATCCGCACAAAATACTCCCATGGGTGTTTGGGAATTCCTACCAGGAACTTCTGGCAGCAAAGTATTGGTCATTTAAAAAATAAGAACCTGTTTCTTACTCAAGGCATTGGACAAACATTTTCCAGAGTGATTCAGTATGTGGGTAATTTATTTGCATTTGCACAAGGAATGCATTGTGGACATGGTATCCTCATTTTTTCTTAGCAAAAAAACCACCCACTCCTCATGTAGTATGGAATAAAGAAAACCCTGGGCTCCATGACAGAAAAGACATGTTTGAAACAAGGAGTTTGCAGGTGTAAGAGCTGGGCTGTAAGTATCACACCCAGCAGTTAAACAGGCATTCAATTATGACCAATACTGACTATTTTATTTAAAGTCAGAAAATTTGACTCTGTATTTTTCACTTGTATTCTAAGATACCAAAACTGGAGTTTCCTTAAGTACTATGACCAAACAGTGAGTTTGGAAATGGACATTGAGCTGTATCCATGCTCTTTTTAGTTTTCATCAATTTGGGCCTAGGCTAATATTTCGAATTGAAGCTTACTTAGGCATACTTGGAAAATGCTTTATGACTAAACTCTTTAGGAAAAATAAAAGGAACCGAAGTGCCTTTCATCTCCTACCTATGTGTGTTCAATCTGTTTCAATGTTAACAACTCAGTAGAAAGACAAGCGCTAGAAAAACCAACTCCCTAGGAGAAAATTTATAAGATAATGTCATCACTAAAAATGAAAGAAAAAACCTCCCACATCACAACCATTCTAGAGCAGGCTAACTTCTGTCCCAGATGACATTTTATTCAACATAATTTTAAAATTACTTATTTCCCTCTGTTATCCCATCATAAGATAGCAGAAAAAACCAAACTATTGCTTTATGTTATTTCTACAAGTTTCATGTACACTCAATATGATATTTTAAAGTAAATTTAAATTGTAATTTCAAAAGCAAAAGCAGCTGGTATTATAAGTAAAAGTGCTGATATTATAAATAATTTCAGTAACTTGTATTTTTGTAAGAAGCAATGGATGTAATTTTGAAAACTTATTAATGGCCTTTGTTTTATCCAGGGTAAGAGAAAGGAGCTCAAGCCACTGCCAAACTATACAGCTGTGTTCTCAAGCAAAGTTCCCAATTTGACCAATCAAACTATCCTCAGTCAAATGAACAATGAACTTGGCAGAGCTCTGGTATATGGATTATTTCTTCAGCAGTGGAGCACGAAAGAGGAAACTTGAGGGTGAGCTCCAACTTTCCTAGTGTTTCAGTAACAATAGAACAGTAACAAAGCAAGTTGAATGGTTCTAGCTAAGTTGAATGGTTCTAGACACAGCATGAAAAAATTCCTCCATCTTTTCTACAGAGACCAACACTACTGTCTGGCACGGATTTTCTTTCAAGGGCAAAAATGGATGTTGTCCAGCAATGCTGTAGGAGATGAGTTTTCATTTTTGTTTCTTTAGATTTGCTGTTCTCAAATTCCCTTCTCTTACTCTTTTCTCTGGTTTAGCTGATAAAAACTCATTGACAAGGAAGCAGGCTTTCACATTTTGCTCTGAAGGCGTGTTGGCTCAGCAACCTGTCTTACACCCTCAGGACTGACAACCTTGAATTTAACAGGTTCATAGTCCCTAAAATCTGTGGTTGCCCAGGGAAACCATCATCGAGACAAACTGACACAATACCAAAAGCCTGTTCACTAGTGCCTCTTTATTACATAGGCTCAAACTTTATGACCTATTATTCTGTAAGGAAATATCAGCAAGCAGCAGAGCATGGAGAATGTACACACAATACCTGCCTTTTGAACTGTGCATAGCTTCCATAGGATCGTGCTCAGTTCTAGGTGGAGCTCAACACAGAATCCATTAGGATGGCCTCGACACAAAAGGCTGCAATCTCTCACCAGACCCAGGTGGAGATGAGTGCACTTATGTCTTGCAATTAAAGCTATTTTGTTTTTATGATTAGACTTCAGTGGCAGAAGGCAGCTCAGAAGCACATCATGCAATTAGCCCAAGTGAGGAGGACTGATTTCACTCTTTGCAGATATGAATTGTATTGGACAATTGAGTTCAGTTGGGACTGGAAAAGTAGGTTCCAAATGGGAACCTACTTTTTAAAACAGACATCTTCCAAATGGGAACCTACTTTTTAAAACAGACATATTCTCGTTCAGCTAAAAAGCTTTCTGCTCTCTCCTGTGAGAAGAAAACTACACCAGGAACTCACTTGTTTTCACACATCTGAAAGTGGGAGAGCAGAGAGCAGATCAAGACTTTCCTTGTCCCTGTGCTGTCCAGGAGCTTCTTGAAAAACTGCCCAGTCCACTCAGAGGTTACATATTTATTGGACATTGCATAATACCGAGAGTCATTAGACTTGCATGCCTTACTCTGAGATGTACTGAGCAGCTGCAAGTCTTTCTATGGGTCACAAACTCTACACTGAGTGGTGGATGTCCAGTATCTGTCAGGCTCAAGCTCCTACTCATGTAAGAATGTCTCATTTATAAAGCAGAGGGATTTTGTTTTTCAGCATGAAAGCATACAGAGCTCCATGTTTCCTAACCTCCAGATGGCACTCACTCCACATCAAGTAATCCACCAAAAAAGGAAGGCAGTATGGCACAATTCCTTTTACATTTCAAGGGACATGAAATAATTCCAGATTCTTGACTCTGTTTACTGTGTATGAATCCAGAGAATCCTTCTCCCAGAGAGTTCCTGCAAACTGGAGGGTAAGAGGATGGTCTCAGCAGGGCACAATTTAATCCTCCCACTTCACTTAGAACCGGCATTGTTTCAGCTGAAGCACTTCTCCTAGTTTTGCACAAGACTTTCCACATATTACCCTAAAGATGTGGGCCGCTAAGGAGAGTTTAAAGAAGCAGTGATGGAAACTGGAGTACGGGAAGACATGTTATATAAGGAAAGATTAAAACGACTGTTAAAAGTTTAACATGAAGAAGAAAAAGCTGTCTTGGGAAGAGGGTAGCAGTCTTTTGATACATGTATAACTCTGGAATGAGAAAATGAATCATTTTGCACTTTATGTGAGTGGCAGGTACCAGGTAAAATAACAAGCTTAAATTATAGCAAGGAAGAATCGTGTTAACTTTTCGGAAAGCTAGTAGCAAGGATAATACAGCACTGGAATGGATTCCCTGAGGAATCTTCACCTTTGAAGGCTAAACACACACACCCATCAAGAGGGATGTATTTAACAGGGTTTATCTTTTACTGTATAAATTGAATCACTATCTAAAGAGCTCTTCACCAATTCTCTGTCTATACCAGAGCTGCTGGTATATACACTTTGCAAACATGATTTTTCAAATACATTCACAAAAAATTTAAAAAACATCTATTTTAATTATACCAGGTTTAAATAGATTTCACATCTAAAATACAGATTAATCACATAATTTTTTTGATTGAAATATATTTCTAATCCTTCTAATGACTCATAGAAGATGCTTTTCACAAAGTCTAGTTGTGTCTCTTTTAATCACATACATCTGAGAGGTTTGTTTAGTGCCCTTCTGACAACCTCATAAAGACATTTCTCAAGTTCCCCGTTGAAATCAATAGCAACTCTTAAGCACTCTGACATCTTCATGATTAAGGGGAAAATGTCTAGAGAACCAAAGTTGCCCACATGGAATAGATGACATAACCTGTGTGATATGGGAAAATTGTGTTGAACTGGACACCTTATTTTGTTCAATTATTACACTTTCCCTGGAAATGTAAATTATTTTACGCTACTGCAATTAGCTCTCCTCTGATACCCAGCATTACACTTCCAAAGTTAGTTTGGGTCTCTCTACCATGTGCAGCAACCTTCAGAAAAGACCTTTTGGGAATATCCACGGTCCTTATCAAAACTGCCTCAGCACCTGCAAGCAGAAGGCAGCAAACAGATATTCTGTAGACATCAATTTCATGCCAATTTTAACAGTAATTTCTCTTTTATGATAATTAACTTTGCCAACTAATCCTTATTTACATAAGCAGAGAGTCTTAGAAAGATTGGATGAGATTACAACAGTAGTGAAATCTGTAAATAACCAGCGGAAATTCCATTTATTAAAGAGATTGTGTAGATATTAAACTGTGTGGTAAGTTACTTGTAAAGCATTCTTATGATGTATCACTTGTGCTTATAAGCATTTTTCCCTTTTGTTGCCAGATCTTAAACAAGGGATTATGCATGTTTAGACAATTCATTTTCTGTACTTCTTTCAGTTAAACAGCACAAGTGTGTAGCTATATGACTTAATTCTTTCCTTATGTATACACTGCTTTCAATGTTATATTTTTGAGGATTGTTAACGTTAATTGTACCTTGGTGCACAGGTGTTTCCACTGCCTCCAGATTTTGTGTGTTCTCTTTTTGAGTTCCATTTAAAATAAAGAAGTGTGAAACATATATTTTAACAAAACATAACATAGGTAAATTTATGTAAATCTGTATTTTTCATGCTTTTAGGACGGTCTTTGTTCCCAGGTGGCATCTTAACTAAAAAGTTTTGCTTTATAAGATCAGTGATAACTGTAAATCCAGTTGTGTTTCTTAGAAACTGTATTTAAAACTGCTGCTTGATCTTTAGATTACTCTAAAGTAAACAACATAACCAAATGGATTTTCCTACGAAGGTCTCCTCGTGCTGTGAAAATTACAGCATAAACAGTAAGATTCCTTGAACTGGTTAGGATGAGGATGATTATGTATGAACATTAGACGGATAATACTGCCATTCCAGGCATCATATGTTCGTATGCATTATGTACATACACATTCACATGCTTTGCTTTCCATAAAGAACACACTATAGAACACGATTTCTCAACTGGAGTTCATCTTAAAGCAGACAACAGTTTTGTGAAGCGGGGTGTTTTTTGGTTTGTTGGTTTTAGAAATCAACAATTAGGGCCTCAAGCTGCATTTCCTAAATCCTGCCCAGGGAGAAACCAGTAAACCTTTCCTAACGTAGGATGTCTGTCTTAAAAACTCTACTTGCTACTCTGAATTCATGTCAGTTATGTTTTCCCTCTTCAGAAAACTTCATGTTTGCTTTGATAAATTCCCTGAAACACAGAAGAGTCTCCAAGTAACTCAGGAGTTCTGCCAAAGGCTGAAGAGGTGCTCACACAGCCATGCCCACAGTCCTCTTCTGTCACAGGGCATAGATGCCACAGACTGACATCAGCTTGTGACCTTCTCTAAGCCTCTCTGAGATGCTGTATGTATCTATGTATCCACAAGAGCGCCAGCACTTAGAAATGGAATTTCCAAATATCTGGGGTTACAGTCTCACCTCAGCACAAGACCTTTATGCCAGGCCAATGGAGCAAAAACATGGTAAATTTCTCTTAACTACCTATTGACCCAGGGGATGGGCAGAGGAAAGTCTCAGTTGGCATATACTGATTGAAAAATTGCATTAAGAAGTAATCTGCAAATATACTGGTAAAATAACTATAAAAATTATGAGATTTGTTTTCACCTGATCACTTCAAAGTGTGGGTTCACTTTGCCCATTTACTAATGACCAATTATCATCACTGGATATATTTTATACGATCTGTGAATTAACAAATTAACAAACAAATTAACAGTAACTCTTATGTCAGCTGCAGGTATTGCCGAGAAAGGGAAACAAAATCAACCAACTAGGTACTGTAGAACCACCTGCAATTACCACGAGACTTATTAGCAGTTACACCATTATGTCTCTTAAAAGCCAAATGGACTACAACTAGTAATACTACCACTGTGTTACCATAGGGATACATTAAAAACCCTATAAAAGCCACAGAGTGAAATCAGCACCTGGTGGTGTTTCAGACCTGGTGAGATGATCTTCATTGCTAGAATAAGCATGATTATACTGTAGCTGCTCCTCAGTGCTGGCATATCCATTTGCACACTCTGGGAGAATCTTAAGACCTTTAGTAAGAATGCAGGAGCCATCACACACCAGGACCTTACCAAGGGCTGTCATCATGTACTCACACTTTCAACTCTTACTGGAGCCTCTTCTCCGAGTAAGCTGGATGTAAGCACTGATCTAGAACAACACCAGTACCAGATCCAAAAGCTACAGCTCAAGCTCCTCTCTGGGCTACAAGCTCAATGTTGTTTTTCTGGAAGGGAGACTAGTTAATATATTTTCCTTCTCTTTTGCTTCTTCCAGATCCTTGGCTTTGTTAGGTTTTTGGGTTAGGTTTCTAAATCTGTGTTTGGTGTTCTAGGCTCTTTCAGTACTACTTTTTAGCTAGCCATATTGTTTTAAATAATATGCCATTACCTATATGGGTTGTCTTCAGCCCCACAGGTTCCTCAGTTGTGGAATCTCCTTTATTTTAACCTAGAGCTTAAAACACCAATTACCTATAAAATTAACTGTTAGCACGGTAGGCTGTAGAAATAACCAGTGCAGAGAGCACTCTCTGCATTCCTTGTAAACCCACAAATTTTAAGGCATTATTTTGTTCAAAGACTCAACCATAATAAGCCAACATCATTATTGGAAAAAAAAGTCTGGTTTGGCTTTTTTCTTTGGTTACTACAGGAAGATTATTTTCCTCCTCTGTTTTATTTTCAACTGGACTCAACATATGCATTCCCATTTGAGGTGCAGCAGTGTTAAACCACTGCCCATCTGCTGTGGAACAGGAAATCTGCATTGGAGACTCAAATGTTATAATTTTATTCAATGACTTGCAATTTCAAATGGTTCTGCATTCTGCTGAAACTGCTGAAATTTGATGTAGAACTAAATAATTTAAACACAATAGGAAGAATTTCTTATATTCTTCATAGATTAAATTTTTTTGTTGCAACCTTGAACAGGGCTGCCCAGCACTGCGACGTCTGCTCCTTCCCTAAGCTGTTACTTACACGGCCAGTGAACAGATGCAGAGCAGGATCATTACACAGACAGGGCAGGGGAAGGATGGTAAATCATTCTGCTTAACTGAATGCAATGCAAAGCACGATGTATTTTTTAAAAATGTGAAATGCTGACTAAAACTGCATGCTTAATGTCCTATTAAATTTAAAAACAGTTGAATAAAATAGGCTCATGGACCTGCTTAAGAGTTTGAAGTCAGTTCGGCTTCTTGATTACTCAAGTAAGATACAAGACAGTGCACATTATTGATAATTTTACATCACTTTTTGGATCAGCATCCACACAGTAGTGAAAATACACAACTTCTACCTTAAATATTGGTCTATTATTCTCAGATTATCTAAAATGACAGACACATCTACACCTCAGACCCAATTTTAAATGAGAATTTCATCTTGTATGATGCATTTCCCAACTCTGTTTCAAGTACATAATAGTCCCACAAGGCTGAGGACTCAGTTTATCAAGAAAATCTTGGAACAGTTATTATTTTAAGGCAAATTGAAATTTTCTTCTTTTAGAGTTTACTGACTTTGAAAAACTTGATTAATTTGAGTTATATTAACAGAAACACAGTTTTTAAACTAAAACTCTGTATTGGGGGGTGGTATTTATTTCAATCAAGAGTTTTGAGATTTTATGTAATCATACTTCTTCCTTTTATGACTGAATTACACAGACATGATTTACAAACTCAGAATTAGTAATACTGTTTTAAAATACCACTAAGGGAATGTGAAATAAGTGCAATAAACTTCTTTTAAGCCATTTTAAGAACTATTAGTCATACTGAAATACAACTTCCATTAAAATGAAAACCAAGAAATGTTATGCCTGCGAATAACCCATCATTTCAAAGCAATTATGCTCTAGGTAAAACTCAGGATTAATGGTGTGGATTTGACATTGTAGTAGTCCTGGTAATATACAGGCATGAAAGAGCCAAGATTCTGTACGTGTGTGACCAGTACAAATGCAAATGTGTTGGATAACCACTCATATTTAGTTCTGACAAGTTGGCAAGTACGAAAGCTCTAAAACCCATGCTTTACTATTTTTATGGATAACTGTGTATGGTGGGTAGGTGTATCTTCCGGGGAAGCTGCTCCATCTTTGATACTATGACAAGTTCTGCATTCAGGCACTTTTAGATTTGCTTAGCTTTTTTTCCTGTAAAAATGAAAGTGCTGCTGTCAGAACTGTGCCTTCCCTGCTGCGGGAATTAGATCCAGACAGCGTGACTTGAAAAACACGGCCGCTGGAGCACTCGAGACTCCACTTTGGGAGAAAAAACTGAGGTCTAGCCTGCAGCTCCAGCCCGGGGCTGAACCTGCTCCCGGGCGAACACGGCCCATGGCCAACACAGTATCACAAGATCACTGTTCTGGGGATGTTGTTTAAGGTAACAAAGAGTCATTCCAACACCAACAATCTGAATCTGGAGCGGAACGTGTCTCGGCCCCGACACCGACGGAGTTCGACGTGGGGAGGCCTCAACCAGCGCCCGAGAGCTCCCGGGCAGCGTTCGGCACCACTGGCACGGGGGTGACCGGAGCCCTGCCCCTCCCGAGGGCACCGGGGATGCCACTGGGTCCAGCTCTGCCCT